TACTGTGGAGGTTAGGGAGAGTGAGAGAGGGAGTGAGGAGAAGAAGAAGAGAGAGTGAGAAAGACAGATTGCTGTACTTTAGTAAGTATATTGTGCTCTAATGTTGCCTGTATGGCTGGCTGGCGGGTGATAAGTAGCCCAGGCTTCTGGGGCTAGTTGAAAGGACATACTCATTAGGTTGGACTCCTTAAGATTGGGAGCTCACTTCATAAGTTTGTTTTTTGTTGTAATGTTTAACAGGAGAAAAATAAACCCTTCTCAAGGTTTATTACGCTAATGTGGCGTGGCAGCAGGGTTTATCAAGAACACAGCTGAATACACATGGAGTGGCATGTGGATTAATGATTTCACAGAAAACTGGTTTGTTCAATTTCATCACCAAGTCTTAGATGCATAATAACGGATAAACAGACTGATCCTATCGACAAGTGTTCATAGAGCTCCACAGTAAAAACACCAAACGAGCCGAACTTTCTCCTGCAGCAAGACATGTTCACTATAGTTTTTCAATGTCTATTACTAGCTGAAAATACCAATTGACCATGTTGACAATGCAACTACAATATTTAGTTCTTAACTAATTAACTAGTAGAAAGTAACATTTTCATTAGCGAGCCATTATGGAAGATATGCATCTTAAGGAAAAAACAATGAGCTTGAGGCCAAGAAGATTTATGAACATATTTAAGGAACTAATCATACATGATGGGATCGGTCAGTTGTTTCTGAGACACTTTTTTACGTCCCAGTAGCCTTCAGTAAATAAGGTTGTCTGAAAGAGGCCTGATGAGAGGGGGAGGGATGTATTGGTTGCATAGTTTGCAATTGTAGCCTTCTCTAAACCTAAATGCACTAGTATTTGACACACTAATGTGATGCCTGCTGAGTTGAATGGTATAAAGATATATTAAGCATTAGGTGTAATGTGAGAATTATTATAGGGATTATAAGAATTATGAGGCTCACCTCTCCCCCGCAGGTTCATGTAAAAGGTAAAGAATAAGAATAATGAAAAGAATGGAAAGGGTGATGTATAGCCTCCATTTGCACTGTATATACCTCAACAGGCAATGCTTACTTGTATATTAGTAACAATGCCATTTATAATGATTGAATTATCAAAATGCATTACGACACTATATAAAGTGACAGCATGATAATTCCATTACTAGCACATGATTCTTCTGACTTCATCATTATGTCACTAAACCATGTCAAATCATTTTCTTCTTCTGTGATTTGTAAAGATGTCTTGGAGGCAAATGTTTTTTTTGAACCATGTATTTGTTGTTTGCCTCAAAAGTTAATCACCTAGGTTCTTCCAAGTAAAATACCCAGCAAGTTTGGTGAAAATCTGTTTAAATGTTCGTTTTGTATACATACACAGAGACAGGGCTGAAAACAGTGCCCTTTTTTTAAGAAAAGAGAAGTCCAGTGTGCAAAGCAGAAGACAAGACAGAGCAGAACAGTGGAGTAATGATTTTGATCAGTGCTGTTATGGTTTATTGTATCACAAACTGTAGACTTCATAACATCTAATGCGCATTTCACACCATCGTAAAAAGTCCCACTGATCCCTGTCCTCCTCTCGACTGATACTTAGAGTACAGAGTGTTTCACAGCACAACACTGAACTGTGACTGAGGGTCGACTTCACTCAGCTGTATCTGAGCCAAAGAACATCCGTTCTCTTTTACCAACTGAACCTGTTCATGCTCCCGGTCGAGGCTTACTCCCTCTCAAAGTTTGAAATCTTTTGCAAGTGGATTACATTACTTCCCCAGACTGTGGCAGTGTGAACTTGTTACAGTAACCTATAGACACAAATGGACAAGGTAGATGCAGATAGGAGACGACTGCACTAGCGCATGCACACACACATTCATTGTTTACCAGAATAACTTCTGATAGGGTTGATTGGCTCCTTTCCTGTCTCACCTCCTTACGGTGCTATTGTATTGTCAAGGGCAAGAGTGGCTTGTTCACAGTTAAACAAAACTGCTCACATAAAAAGGTTCAGTCTCTCTCACGCACACACACACACGCACTCCATTTGCAATCAGACACGGACGATTGCAAACGGTCATGGACATCTCTACTCCTCTTTTCACACTTCATTCTCAATAGCCCCTCTTCAAGTCATCACTTAAGCATGTGTATATGTGTGTATGTGTGTATATATGTGTGTGTGTGTGTGTGTGTGTGTGTGTGTGCGTGTGCGTGTGTGTACTTGTGCCGTGCCTTCATCTGTATGCCAAGCATTTGTCTAGAGGCCCTCCAGCCAGAACCAGCTTAGGAGCAGCTCAAGGCCAAACAAGTGTGAGGATTAAAGACAAATACAGTCCTCTCCTCCTCTCTTCCATCTCAAGGAGGAAGTGAATGAGCAACGCTCTCCTCCTCCTTAACTACTGCTGAGGTATCCTTGAGCAAGGCTCCTGGAGTGTCTTACAGCAGACGACTGTTGTGAAATTGTGCATGTTCCAGTCGTCAAGGTGAAGCATGACCTAGTTTTAATGCTCACTAAATTTACAACTTTAAATTCAGAAATACAAACATCCATTACCAGTCACTCACTATACTGCAGCTTCCAAACAGCCCTCCCTGAGTAGAGACTTCAATTTCCCTCTCATTCATGTCAAATACAGTAATAAATGAGTAAATCTGCAGGAACAGCATTGGTGGTTGTTTGCACTGTGTAGATCCCATTAGGATTGTTATTTTTCTGCTTCTGACAAGCTAATTAAAATGTACAGGTACAGAAGCTGGCACAAGAGGAAGTGAGGGAGGGAAACTGAATGTCTGTCAGGGGAGAAGGAGCAAGAAAGGTAAAAAAAAAACAAAAAAACATTAGAATCAAACAGAATAATTTAAACTGAATGGGAGTTAATGAGATGATCCAACAGGCGTAAAAAAAACGCTGTGGTTCAGGTCCGTGCATAGCAGCAGCTCAGTGAAGGAAGTAAGTTAAGGCTGTGTCCAAGTAAAGCTGCTTTCAGACATTTTCCTGGAACCTTCCAACAGGGCTGTATGTGAGAACGCAATTGTTCGATAAAGTTGCTCCAGACATTTTCCAGAACTTTTCCTTCCAGTCAAATGTCCAGAAAATGTCAGAGTGAGCTCATGTGAGAAAATTCACAGCAAGCAAATGGGTCAGTTGAAGACGTTTTAAACACACAAACATGAAATAGAGGAGTCACACACACAGAAGATACCAATGAGGATGTCAACTAGAAAAGACAATGAGATTCAAGAGCTATTGGTGATAAGGGCCCACGTCGGTGTTGATGTGCTGTAAGCAAAAACAAGTTTTTTCACAAGAAAATATATACATTGCCTACCTCCTGCATGTACTACCCGAACACCCTAACTTCAATATTCCAGACAGTTTCCTGTTGTGAATGAGTCTGAACTAGACAATCTCCTGCTGCATTCTGCATTTGTGAAAATTGGATCCGGACATTTTCCAGAGTTCATGTCTGAAAATACCAGGAACAAAAAGAAGAAAAATATAATAAGCCTTAACTAAAATTATCTGAATTGTGTGCCCAAGACTGCAGCGTTGAGGAGATATAAGACATTTTTTCATAAATCATTGGTTTCCAGAGAGTGCCTTTTTATGTTGCAGCTTGGCTGGAAAGTAAATAACCTTGTGGTGCCTGTGTCCTGGAGAGAAAATGAGAACAAAAGGGGAAGTGAGATGGCCAAGGTGCTTCTCCAAACAAGAATTCAGGCAAGCGAGTGCAGGAAGTAAAAAAAGCGATGGGAAGAGGCGACGGCATGTACAAAAATGTGGAATAACAATAAGGAGGGCTTTTTATGTGTGAGACAGAGACTGCACACAATGATGCTCAAACACAAAATTCCCCTCTTTCTCACTGCCTCTCTTTTATTCAGTCTCAGTCACACAGACATGCCTGTGTGCGCACACACTGTTATGTAAATAGTCTCTTCGGCAGAGTGCTGCTGTCACTGAGCAAGCATCCTCTGGGCCATCTAGGCAGCCTCATTAAAACAAGGCACAGCATCCGTTAATAGATAACAGTGCACACGGACAAAAAATACACACACACACATATATATATATAGATACAGTTAAAAACGCACACAGAGCTTTCACAGACACTAATAAAGGACCTCCCAGGAAGCACGTCTCTAAATGTTCCTCTCAGGTGGCTGTCAAAAAATATCTCCAAGGTAACGGCTCAAATGTCACAGAGAACAATGCATGAGGATTGTGTGGATGGCCGACTGTGACTGGAGCAAGCTTGAAGGAAAAATGGACTGTGGCTATAAACAGATGCCCAGCCACTACCACAACACATGCTCAGTGTGTGTGTGTGTGTGTGTGTGTGTGTGTGTGTGTGTGTTTGTGTGTTTATTTCTCTTCCTAATATACTTCTCCTTGTGTTCAATGCTGTACTTTAGGCTCAGACTGGGTGAGGGTGGGCTCAGAAAAAACTCAGGTTAAAGTAATTAAAATAAATAAGAGTCATAAAAAAGGGATCTTTATTGCATTTGGAGTTATGTTTAATTTCAGTCAGGAGACCTGAAAATATATAAAAATATACCATATGCACACTAGAGTGCGACGCAATTTTCTGTCTGAAGTCGTCTAAGCTTGAGAGAAAAAACTAACAAGGCCAGATCCAAACCTGACACACATTTAGTTTTTTGTGTAAGACAAACCAAGACACCAACCTGAGCCTGAATATCATTTCGAAGTTTTTGTCTGAACTGAGTCTGGTATTAACACTCTAACACACACAACATCTAAACAAGCTGATTCAGTCATATTATCTTGAATCATTTCAAGTTGTTTTTAAACAGTGCCTGGAATATGAGAATCCTGCCATGTGCTGAAGACTAGTTAGGAAGATGATGTTTAACAGCGTTAGACCAGGAAAACACACAAATGTAACCAAACATATTGAATATTGACTGTACATGTTCCATTTAAACCTTGTAAAATAAAAAGTGGCCCGTTTGTTTTTGATCTGCTGGCCCCGCAGGCGGCTCCCGAGGTGTAGGCTTCATCCGCTTTGATAAGAGGATAGAGGCTGAGGAGGCCATAAAGGGCCTGAACGGACAGAAGCCATCGGGTGCTGCTGAGCCCATCACAGTCAAGTTCGCCAACAACCCCAGCCAGAAGACCAGCCAAGCCCTGCTCTCACAACTCTACCAGTCCCCCAATCGCCGATACCCAGGGCCCCTCCACCACCAGGCTCAGAGGTTCAGGTGAGTACTGGGGTGAGACGTGGACATGAACCATGGAGGAGGAGGAGGTGGAGGTGGGACAAAGAGGAGACGGGATAGGGTGGGAGCAGTTTCAGGTTGTTTAGTCACAGGATGAAGAATTACGCCATTGTCTACTGTTTTAATGGTGTCATTAATACAGAGTTTCCCAACCTTGGCAGTTGACCAGTTTGAAGGCCTCATATAAAGTTTGTGACCCCTTCAAAATTCTCAAGTAATATGAAGTGATTGAGTGTTCTGTCTAGAAATTTCAAAATAAATTCTAACAGAGAAATTTGTCAGTGAACAGTCAAGTAGCAGCTTAGTAATGGACCTGGTGCAGTGTGACGAGTTATTTCGGCCGTTCCTGGTTCTAGTAGAGTAGGACTGTGAGCTGCAATTGGTGCATTTCTAAGGTTTTGATGGCAAGAACTATAAGTATAAAAAATTGATCGTAACAAATACAGATGGTTCTTTGATTAAAGGTTCTGAGCTTAGATACATTAAAAAAAAGGCTTCCAAGGTGGATTTACTTGTGTGCACTGACAGAAGATAAAGTATGTGCCATTCAGGAAATGGATGACGCAATCTGTAGCTCAAATGAAATCACTTTCAGTTTCTTGCTACAATTTAGAAAAGTTAACCTTTGGTAACCATGGTGCAGTGTTTTGATCACAATTGCAGGAATGAAACCTACCTGAATCTCTTCCTCTCCGTAGCGATAGCAGGGTAAACTAGTATTTCAAGCCATTAAAAGATGGAAAACAAACAACTTCTGGGAAAAGTAAAAATAATTTAAAATGATGACTATAACATCAACCTATAATGTTGTTACATTAATCTGGACTACTAACCTCTGTTGAGTAACATTTAGAGGGAATATTTAACCAGGAATTTAAAGTATAAATTTACTAAAACCACCGGCTCTTCCTATTTACCAAAATCGAATCCAGAGACATTATGATGAAACTAAATGAAACACAAGGTGCCTTAGACACAATAAGGCAGATAATGCGAATTAGGTCACAAGGTCAATCTGCCCTAAAGGTTGGAAATCTCCAGATTAATGTCTAAATGACGAATAATGGGAAGGAAGTAATACGTATTTGCCAGCAAACATCACAAACATAATTATAATGTGTTATAGTGTATTGCATAATTCATATTTGAAAACTGGATGCCAAAAAACTACCATGTTTGGTAAAATATCAGGAGATTTTGCTGTTTCTAATTCGGTTGAGAGATTTAGTCGTACGGGTAAAAGGTAGCAATATCAGTCATCAGGTCTTAAACTCGATAGCAATTATTCTTGGTTAACATGACAATAAATACATTTTCAGGAAGGCAAAACGTCTATTCCACACAACCTTCTAATTTGGGAAATGTTTGCACCAAATGTAATTTGCAGTTTTCAAACAGGGGATGTTAACGCCTACACTTCGTGAGCATGAGTCACAGCAGTGTCTATGTATCAGCAATAATGCAACTTTTCTCCTGTGAACATTGATATTCGACTAATTCGTTCCCTTTTTAAAACAGCAGGTGTGAGCTCTGCACCTGGTGCAGGTGTCAGTAAATCAGGCGATGTGAGCCCCGTGTGGGTCCACGCAGATCAGAGAGGAACTGTTCATAAGAGACTGTGGGGTTCTGTCATTCACAAATATGTATTCACCCTCATTTCATCATGTTGTCATGGTGCCAATAATGTCCCAGAATACTCCTCTCACCCTTTGAGGCCTGTGCAAAAACATGGGCTTGGAAATACATTTTGTAAAACAAATACAATCTTTGTCATTCTGACTTTAAAGCCCTAATTCTGCCAAATATATTCATGTTGATACAATGAACCATAATGTCATAGTACAGTGTTGGACACATTGTCATTCTAAATTCACATTCAGATGTAATTTACTGTGTTAAATACTGAATAGGTCCCTGGAAGATTATGAAAGACTTATGTCATTATTCCAACAAAGGGC